GTTTTGCGGGAATGGGCATGATATGTTGCCATCCGTTTTTCGGTCCACAACAGCTATGGCATGTACATACATGTCACCCATCTTCTAGTCATTTATAAGATTTTTCAGGTTTAAAAATGAAATTTAAGTTCAAATGTTAGATTAACTTCTGTTCAGTTATATGAAATTAGTGATTGGTTTTATTTAACTTTACCTTCTAGAAGATTATTTGCACATATTTTACACTTATTTTGACATGAAAAGAAACAAGCTTCTATTGTTTAATATTTATTTTGTTATCTTCTAACATTTTTAATGGAATCATAATATAAGAAACTTTATTTTTCTTTGCAGCATAAGAATATGGGACTCTCATACTTCAATAGTATCACGTCTGTTAAGTGTAGCACATTCACAGCAGGTGACAGGACTTGCCCCACATCCCTCCAATGATCAAGTATTTCTGTCTACTGGAATGGATGGCAATGTGCTGCTGTGGGACTTAAGATTGCAAAAACCTGCTTCATGTAAGGATTGGCATATTGTCAATATGTAGAATGTGATAAAATATTTGTAATTTGTAGGTGTGATTTTATTTTAGTACTTCTTAAAGTATTTCTCAAGTTTTTTGGTTCTGATGTGTGAAAATAATTTCTTTTCACAACTAGGGTTTGCCTCCTTTCACCACTCCCATACCCATTGTTGCTGTATGGGGGCTTAGGAGATGGAGACTGAGGCCCAATGCTGGGGATCACCCCTACCTTGGACCTCAGCCCTCGACTTAGATAATTTTACATCATCTTCTCTTCTTCCGCATTCCTTTTCCTTCTCTTCTCAGACCCCTTTAACTATTGACTTCCCAAAGGTGTGAGTGTCATGTTGAAAAAATGAAAGGCTAACTTTGTGCCATTCATGAATAGCCAAGGAGAGCCATGGTCATGGTATTCCCCTGTTTAGTTGGGATCTAGAGGAGTGGGCTTTTCGTCTCCCCAACATAATCCAGGCTTACCATGGCCAGTAAGGAAGATTTTATCACTTTATGTTACCTTTCATAATATGTTTTATAGGGGCTGCCCTACCTACAATTTTGAGTCTGAGGTGGCAGTTCTCAGATTCTTTTCCGTCACTGTGGCCTTCATTCATGACAACAAGTTCTCATTACCCGGCCTGTGGCCATTTTGTCCTGTGATGGCATGTTCATGTCACCCGACCCTCAATCCAGATTTTTCCATGACGGCATGGCCATGTCATCCGGGTCATAAGGGTAAACCCTTCCACAGTGGTTGACATGTTAAGTTTTTTGCCAAGAAAGGCCCAGGTGCAGGATTACTTCCTAAGCCTTTTGATCCGTATGATGTGACCATCACGTCATGAAAAAATTATGAGGGGCAGGTGAAGGGAACATGCTTTCATGAGCATTTTGGCTGTCAGTATATAAAATTCTGAGAACAAAACCACAGTGGACAGTGCATGTTCTTGATAATAATTCTAACCTTCATTTACTAGGTGTTTATCGTGATTGGGATGACAAACCTGAGTGTGTAGTGTGGACTGGCACGGGAGAAGCAGGTGGAGAAGGCTACTTGGTTGGGGTACAGAGTGGTGCCATAGTGTTACGGAACACAGCAAACCTTAGTTACAACATCACAAGTTTCCAAGCACTAAACAGACCACTTTATAGACTTGCAGCCAACCCAGAAAGGTAAGCACTAATGTTTTTGAATCCTGTTAATAGAAATTCTTAAGAATGTGATTATGATTCACAACTTACAAAAATGATATTGAAATTTTACCAAAATCCATTCTATGGTATCACTTGACAATATTCATCAACAAATAATTAAATCTAATAAGTAGTTTTAATGAAAATTGCCATTATCCCATTGGTGAACAGCAAATTTTTTGAAAGTCAGTTGAGAAAGGATGTGTGTTCATTCATGATCACTCCATGCACAAGGTGATTCTACTGTCTTTTAGTTTATTGAATAACTGAGCAGTGTATTTGTAGTCAAGAAGTGATAATCCTAACTTTACACCCACTTGACCAGTCAGATCACCTCTCATTGCTGGAAAAGTGTGGGAACTTAAAAAAAGACTAGTTAGAATATTAAGAGTAATTAAGACTAATTCCAATGTCTGATGTTACAAAAAAAAAAAAAAAAAAAAAAAAGTGCCTGAATTATGGCATCTCTCAATTTCTTGCTGCACTGCCTGGTGGTCAGAGCAAATAAAAATGTGGCATGATAAGGTATTGCTTAGTGTCATTTTTTTTTGCTATGACCTGATGACATGTCACCTGATCTCATTAGTTCAAAATTTACCTGCTGTCTGAGCCAAATGTGAATCCCAGAAAAACAGAGGAAGCCTTGATGACAACACAACAGGTTTGGCTGGTGCTGCTATTGTGTCTGACATGGCATCTATTGATATTTTTATGATCTGCTGAATGTTTTGGGCAAAATTTGCTGAACAGCTGGTGACACATATAGTAAAAGAGGCAAAGATCAACCAGAGCAAGTTTAGAGTGAAATTCAGTGTGAACAGAAAAACTTACAAGGCCTGCAGTTTGGCCAGACAGACAGAAATCGGAAAAGACAGGAAATAGATGTATAAATTAATTAGGAAAGCAAACATGGAGATAAAGATAGGGCTCATAAAGAATGAAGGAATGAGACAGACAGACCAAAAAATCATGAATGAGAGGGAGAGAAAAGACAAGGCCTGCATTTCCCCAACACTGATTTTCGGAAAACTTAACTGGCAGATGTCAAAACTGCTAGTCATATTAATTTTATTTGTTGGTTAGCTTCAGCATGTGGTACCATATGATAAGTAAGAAGATAAAGAGAGAATTGTTCCTTAGCTCTTTAATATTTGCAGATGAAAGTTGCAAGGAGTTTTCATTTTCAGAAATTATGAATAAATGAGTTGTTAATACCTTTAGTTCTAAATGGAAATTTTATTTTCAGACCAAGCCAAGTTGCTATTTGTGGGAATGATTGTAAATTGGTTGTGGCAGATGTTGACAGTGAAGCAATCAAAGCAAGGTATATCTTTTGTTGCACTGTGTTGATTTTATACTTGTGTTATAATGATTATTTATTGTTTAAAGAAAGAATCATAGATTATGAGATATGAACTTAATTGTATGTTTAGTTTTATAAATATCTTATATTTTATTATGACTTCTTTGCTTATAATATTAATTACATTTACTAAAACTAGTTGTTTATATGTTATCACTTATTCATCTTGTATTCCTTTATCTAAATCCAGATACGAGGATGAACGACACAATGACTTCATTCGAGGCTTGGCCTGGAAGGATGGAAATACTTTGTTTACTTGTGGTTGGGATAAAGCAGTTCATGAGCATACCACAAGTAATTAATTTTCCATGGTGTAAAGCACTACTTTTTGATGTAATCTCGGGCAAACAGCTCATTTGGAAATACTGATGAATCAGTACAGAATGTATTTTTTTTTCTTTTTCATTGCCAGTGACTCTTTTCCCATTCCAAGAAATATTAGCATTAATTTCCTCAATACAGCATCTCTCAATAAACAGGAAGAATTGGACTTTTCATGTGAATTTACATTTGTAGAAAATTAATAAATGTCTGTCTCAGCAGAATGATACAGACATCTCTTAATGTGTGTGTTCCTTGATGATCCTGATTTCCAGAACAAAAATATCACTTTATTATTTGTTGAAATATGGTAATGATTACCTTTAGTATTCATTTAACCAGATATATAGTTTACAAACTCACTTTTAGTTTTCCAGACTGTAGGGCAGGCAGAAAGTATCACTACTGAATACATTGTTTTCAATTATAATGTTCAAGCACTTTGATGTATATAACAACTAGAAACAGAATGTAAGTACAGATGACTTGATAGAAAATTTCCCTTACTGTGTTCCAATTCAATTTGTTAACAGCCTTGTTCACTATGCAGATGATTCTTAAATATGATTGGTACAAAATAACAAATTCAATATATTTAAGATAAAAAAGAGGTAAACCTAGGCAAAAAGTTGAGAAATATTGAAAGAAAGTATTGCCAAAATTATAAATGATTATTATTCATGGAAAGATACCTATAATATCCAAGTTCAAACACCAAAACTCAAGAAAGGGAATTATTTTATACATCTTACAGTCGCTTGTATGACAGTTTGAACCGTTATAATGGTCAAGATAAGTTCAGTTATAAAGAAAGAACAGACCTTCATATTTAGCATATTATACAATGATTTCTTCCTTTTTCCATTGTGTGAAGGGTTTCAATGATTTAGAGACAAGCAGATAGCAATTAAACTGGCATGTATGAATATGTTCATATGTGGATGTAGATTTTTCATTTTATTTTAGACATTTGCTTTAGTTTTGTTACTATCACTAATATACCTTCAAGTGTATAACAAGTGCTATTAAATAGCTAGATTGAAGTACAGGATCAAAACAAATGCTGGGAGAAGGCATTTGCCAGTTTTGTATTAGTCACTTCACACACTCGTTTCTGATGTCATGTTCTGTTCCACCCCTATGTTCCCCAAGCAGAGTTCCTCTTTCAGTCCCACAGATTCTGTTGTTCTGTCCTCATACATTTCCTTTCCTTTTCCTCACTTCTCCTCCCTTCCCAGCCCCCCCCAACTGGTTGAATATCCTTGCAGAATCCCACACACTTTTCTTTAATAGATTAGTTTTCGTTCCTTGGATGCATACATACCCTCCAATTAAGGTATTTGCCCTACTCACCCCTTTCCCTCTTTTGTCAATCCTCCATTTACTCATTTACTCACCCTCTCAACCCTCACCCCTCTTTACCCTTTACCCTACTATTCTGACTTGATGTGTAGCACATTTAATTATTAACTCATATCCCCCTCTTTATCCTTTTCATTAATATACTTTACTACAGTGATACATGATCTCTAATGTCTATCACATTCATTTTGCTTTTTAACCACTAACCAGTAACAATTTATAGAACAGGGTTTGCATCAAAATGCAACA